ACACGTATGTGTGTGTGTGTGGGAGGGGGGGTGGTGCTTGTATCTGTCTGTCTATCTGTCTGTCTATCTGTCTGCCTTTCATTCTATCTGTCTGTACGGTGGAGAGAGAGGATGGTAAAGAGGATGATAACCGCAATCCCACCGCAACCATCTAGCACCTGACCCCTTTTCTTACCTTTATCCGGGAAACTCCTGATCACGTTGGAGTTATAAGGCCCACTGGTTTTGCTGAGGCCGCCTGTGTCGGTGATGGAAGCGTAGAGCTCCTGCATGTACTGGGGCGGCGACCGGTGGAAGGTCCGGCGAGGAATTCTGGAAATCCCAAACACTTTAGACAGCCTGGAGAGCGCATCGGGGGGCGGGGGTGAGTCACCTTTGTGGTGGTGGTGAACTGACCGGTTGGAGGAGGAGGAGTGCGTTGAGGCTGACACCGCTATAGATGATAACGGCGATGATGAGGAAGGGGATGAAGGGAGGAAGGGCATGGAGGGGAAGGACCTTCCAGGGGCCGCCCAGGTTTGGTGAGGCTGGAGGGCCAGGGAGATGACCACTAGGACCAGGACAGGGGACACGTGACCCCAGGGTGAGCCCAGACACACCAGGGCTTTCACACTGGTCACCTGGCGGGTTTTCATGACTTCAGGCAATGTCGCTGGCGCACGTGCTCTCAACTCATTCGATTTACTCACTTCGGGTTGTTTTGGGGCTTTTTTTTCTGTCCCTGCACTCAACGCAATGTGCCACACGCGCTTGAAACTCAATGAAATTACTTCAGCACAAGACAAAGACTTTTGAATCTTGCCTTCGACACCCTAAGGTAACAGAGGGCGGGAAACGTAAGGAAAAAGTAAGTACTATTTCACATTCATCAATTCAGCATCATCAGATGTTCTGAAATGGCTAGCTAGCCTAACGAGGCACCACAATTATTCCAGCTTCCTGCAAGTGCTACAATGCGCCACAGAAGTTTAGAAATCCAACAAGTGTCTTGATTAGATCCGTAGGTGTCGCATGTCCATGAACCTCTACAAAAAAAGTTATTTCAGTTCCAAACACTGCTCGGAGACTATCACTGTCGAACAGTCAGTAACATGAGTTGTAAGTTACCCTAACGAACATACGATCTAAGATTGTTGTAAAACACGAAATTATACGAAGATATCTGGTACCTAACGTTTTCTGAAGACGTCAACTGCGTTCGAGGGTTCCCAAACAGTTTAAGGTTAGGCCTACCGGCAAACAAAGATATTCTAATTCACAAAGGTATCACAGTAATCTGAGAGTGGGTGTGTCCGGCTCTTCCATCATCTTGTCCGACCAGGTCGTGACACGAACTTCAAGAAATGGATCGATGATCGAACCAAGAAAGCACCATTATGAATCGCGAATTTTTAAAATGTCTAAACAGTCCCTTTGTGTACACGAAAGGGGGAAAGAGGAAACTGCGCATTCAAAATGATGACGCTTTATTATGGTACAAAGAAAAAACAGTAGCTTAAGCCTCTTATCATTTCACATTCTTTTGAATCCCTTGTTCTGTATTCTTATTGAATCATTTCACATTATCGCCACTCCTTTATTCTGTCTTTTTATCCAGACAGACGGTGAGAAGAATCGTCACACTGCACAAATCTCGGAACACAGAAATAAAAACTGCTATACATCAAAGTGTGCTCTGTCGCCAAGAGAACTTGGGTCAATATTATCAAGTTGTCTGTTCGCGGAATCGGACAGAAACTCACAGACGTGGAAAACGGAGACTTCTGCTTGCTCACGTCAGTTCTGATTGGCCGAGTGAGGAACAAGCCTACTGTTATACAGAGAACACAACGGCGAGGTGGGGGAAGGGTAGAAATGCGCTTTCCACAACGACTGGAAATACCCTTGCAAGAGAAAAAAAAGGAAGAAACTTTCCCCCACACCACAAAGGGGTCAACTATGTCGCAGTAAGTTGAGAACTGCTAGAAAATGTGGCGACCCCTGACTGATAATCAATTCCCATGAATCATGGAGAGGTTTTTGTCACCTTTAACCGTTAGAGTCCTCGAGTCGTCCAAGTAATCCACAATTTGTCCAAACCACGCGGGCCTCGGGCGAGAATCTGTTGTGGGAAAGGCTTCAGATCGTCATGGGAACAACACCTCTACATAGCAACTCTTGTTCAACGTTTGAGTCACATTCCACACTTTGATTCAGCCCGGGAGAATTCGGAAAGAAATTATTATCTTTACACTTGAAAAGCGCGAGGCTTGCTCGTCTGTTATCGAGACCTCCTACCAACACGGGGCTGCGATCTAGCTAGCTACACCTAGCCCTGTTCGCCCGTTCCGCGCGCGGCTCTCAAGGTAAGCTGTCTGCACCCTCAGGTAAAACAATATTCTCCGCTGATCTCTATTGAAAGCCGCGGGCGCCGCAAGGGTCTACGGGTAGGGCCAGGGCAAGAAATCACCGCTAATACTTTGCTCTGATCGGGGGCAGTAAGGCGATTGTCGGCTCCCGTCGACTCGTGACGCACAAGTGGGCGGGGCTCCCTTCACGGGCTTGATCCGGCCCCGCCCCCTCCCGGCTGACAGTGACACCTGTTCGCCTTCGGGGGTATTTTCCTTCCCATCGATCGGCCACACCGACAAATGGCGGCCAT